AATTTACCACAACATAGTGCCAAACAAACAGTGTGATATGAGAAGTGACTAACACAGAATTGTTCTCCTTTAATATTACCTTTATAACAGTTTCTCTGTTGTCAGGGGCACTTGACGCCATTATTACTAATGCCTTCAACTTTTTAATCTGTGTTGCCACCGCAAACGCCTTTCCATAATTGCCTGCAGACAAGGTGACCATAGTTTGTTCGCCGGATAACACTTTATCTGGTATATACCTCAGCTGATTTATTATACCTCTTGGTTTAAATGATCCTGTTGTATCAGTTAATGTTGAGAAAAATGAAAATATTAATAAAAAAGACACTAATACAACAATTCCAATTTTATGATTTAGGTATATATGATATTTATAAAAAAACAGATTTTTGTTGAATGAAAATGGAACCAGTATGATGTAGTCCACCCATTTTCTGTATATTTTACTTACATACTGTAAAATACTTTATTACAGGGAAATAAAATCAACAATACTGTACAATACTTTGATTCAGTGAAAATAAAATCCAGCAAATATACCTTTTTCCCTATACAATGTATTTTACATTCAACTCATCATAAATCTGTCAAAAAAAAATTCCATACAAAACACCCATAAAGTATTTTCAGCAAAATTAATTCCAGCTAAAATAAAGTATTTTGTGACAATTAAAAAAAAAATCATTCAAATATAAAATCTGCTGTCTTCTTTCAAATTAAAATAAAAAAAAAAAACAAGTCGGTTTTGTTGGTCTCTTCTTGGCATTTTACCATATGCTTGGTGACATGGAGGTAAAAAAGTGACATAGGCTGAAAATATATTGTCAAAAAGTAGTATCTAGTAGTAACTACTGTTGAAATGTCATTTTAGGATTTACAAAAACTTATTAATTAATGTTATTTTTTTTAATTCACAAACAACTTGACGTCTACATGAATAATGCACACGTGTAAAAAACGCACAGATGTTTCACCTTACTGTGAACGAAAAAGCAGCCCAGCCAGTAATGTATTTTGTACATTTAGTTGTACTACCGTAACAAAGTATCAATATTTATATACCCCCCCCCCCCCCCATTATTGCATTACCGTTACGTCGGGGCTATAAATATTGCTATTTTATTTACAAAAGGAGTTATATTGCAATACTGCTGGTAAAAAATTTAAATAAAATAAATGTTGGGTTACTATCTTTTTCTTCACAGTAAATATCTAAAGCCTCAATAACTGCCAACTGTTGTCAACTCGAACCTGATCAGAAAATTACCTGTTTTTTGCATGGTTTCTAATTTAAGATGTAGGTCGATAGACGGTGGGATTCCTACTCTGTCTTGTACATGGTGAATCATAGGAGTGTGTATACATAATTCACTACTTTTTTGAAATTCACGAGCTGAGAGTATGTCATTTAAAGTTACAAGCGGAGCATCTGGATCATACATTGTCAATGAGATGGTTTCAGACGTGGGCAAACTGCAACTGGGTTATAGTAGTGAACTTTGCCTTCGCCGCAAAACATAGAATGGCAACTCGCCACGGCTTATAAGGGTTGGCCAAGTCGATTTTCTGGCGGTGTAGTAAATTTCGAGAACCAATCCGCTCAGAGATAAAATAAAAAAAAAAACTATAGAAGCAATGACAACAATAAATATATTTATGAAAAATAAAAATCTTAGCTTGCTAGTTATCTAGCTAAAAACTAATGAGAAATATCACAGTCCAAACCCCCTCCAGATTTTTTGATGGTCAATCCCTAACAATCTTGTATACAGCTGACCCAAACCCGGAAGTACTGACTAAATATTCAAATGCGCATGCTCAAATGAAGTCAAAACGAGGTCGCCGGTGAGACATTGCCACGTTAGTCTGTTTGGCGTAGGTTCTTTCTCAGTTTTAACACAAACTTCTGTCAAGATGGTAAGTTTTTCTCATAAATTCCGATAAATGTGACATAATTAGTGAATATACTCCCAATAATTACCAGCGGCGTCACTTACATTTCGCTTGAAACATACGCGCATCGACAAATATGGTACTTACGATTTTACTCATTGTGATTACTTATTTCAGCTCCTTGTTGGGATAATAATATTGATGAATTCGATTTCTCGTCTTGTTGTTGATCAGATGATTAAAATAGTTTTTAAAACAAATGATTACAGTCACTCTGAAAATTATTTAAAAATATATTATATATTTTTTTCATTATTCTCTTAGTACTTTGTATTTTTAGACATTACTAAAGAGGGAAATCCTAATAATTGAAAAATAAATAAAAATTATTGTTTCGTTTCTATTTTTAATGCCACAATAACAAATTATAGTAAAACAATGTTTATTAATTTGAAGATTTTCAGCCTTCAGTGTCACTGAAATGACGCTCTTCTACTTTCCTTGTGAACTGTATTACAATAATTAATTTAATTAATTACACTAATTTAAAAAAAATTATAGTATTTGATTCTGCAATAAAGAGTTGAAGATGTGTTGTATATAATTTTTTTTTTTTCTGTAGGTCTCGGTTGTAAATACAGTTGACACGGCCCATGAAGATATGATCGTAAGTCTATTATAATGTACCTAATATTGGATGCATGCTATTCACTCATTGTAGCGTTTGATGTTAACGATGATTTTATTAATGAAAACCTGTACTGTGTTAGCTCTATTTAGAAGTACATGAATGTCCCTGGTCAAAATATGTTGTTTTATAACTCAATATACAGTGCAAGCAATGTTTGGTTTATGTCGGAACAGTGATTCTACAGTATCATCAAATATTCATGGTTCGTCCATGCAAAATGTTTTTCAAATTCCTGCGTTTTATAAATTTCTTTTGAAAAAATTCAATCAAATGTTATTTCCAAAATTATCCATGAAAATCACCATGATTCAGTATTAAAGTTAATTGTCAGCTCATAGTCATGGGTCAACCTAATCATTAACAGGTCATATTTTAATACAGAATTACTTATCTTGTATTAGTTTATCTCAGAAGTGTTTTTGTTGCATGCCATACAACACGTAAAGTAACATTTATGTTGGTTGCCATGTGTAACTAGGTGGTAGACTGCTTTTATGCAGTTTATTTTAACTGCACTCAATGTTTTTTCTTGTAGCATGACGCTCAGATGGATTATTATGGTATTCGTTTAGCAACGTGTTCGTCAGACAGATCTGTGAAAATATTCGATGTCAAAAATGGACAACAAACTTTAGTAGCCAATCTTACTTTGTGAGTATTTGTTCATATTAATTGTCTGAGTTGTATGTATCAATGTGTCAGTAAACTTCAACATTTCTTGTAAAATTTTATTTCAATCGTGATGAGGACTTTTTGATAGAATCATAGTACCACACAGTCTTGTATATGCGACTAATAGGCAATACATTGTATTCAACA